CAGGTCTAGAGTTACACTTCAGCTAACACAAAACGCGGAGAAAGCAGAGTTACATACAGCAGGTTACTCGGAAACTCTTCCACAAAATCATATTAACCCGAAAGTATCATATTCGGATGACAAGAGCTTCTGCAGACGACCTCCTCCCGCTGTTTGTGTTCATATTCCGCAGGGGGGCAAAGAACAAGTCAGTAGCAAGGAATTTCATGGACACTTTTTAAATAGTACGCAAGGGACATTGGCGGAGGTGCAGTTTCTTTCTGTGGACTACAGGTGTCGCTTGTAGGCACTTTTGGCTTAGCAGTCGGCATTGGCGGTAGAGTAACTAGGCTATGGAAAACTACTGTCCATCATTACAGGTAGAATGTAAACTTGTAGACTGGGGGTATGTTTGTCAGTGGGAGGCTGTATTCTGCAGGTGACGATTGCCCGGATTGGTGGGTATTGTGCCATCTCCGGCGACCTGAACGTTGTTGTTTTTGCAAGTTGACGGGACGACACCTTGTCGGGTAGATGTCTCTTCTGATTAGTTACCCTACATGGTGAAAACGAGCCAGCCACCAAGCATTCCTCTATGTGTCGTAATTTGCATTTTGCGGATCTTATGACACTTTCTTTACCCGCTCTGTTCGTGGAATGGTGTCACTGAACCCTTCACATACGTACGTCTCAAATTCTTTGACTTCAGTTGGCAATCTCGTAACAGGAAATTCCATTTCTAATCCAATAATTAAGGATGCTTCGCAACAGGAAATAGTTACACGACAGTTCCAGCCTGAATAAAACCTTTTATGTCCTTAATTTCTTAATCCCTCCGTACTAAAAAAAAATAATAACAGAAGGGACTTTCGCCAATGCAAAATTTTTAGTCGGACGCGATGTACAGGGAGCAATTAAACTTAAAGTTTACTAGTTTCTCAATTGATAACAATTTGAAGTTCAATTTGTGTGTGCGGTAGAGCTGATGCCGCTTGAAGCTAAACGTAGGTGGTATGACATAGGAGCGACTGGAAAGCCAGACTCGGTGAACCAGATCAGCCAGGCATTTGCGCGCTACAGGAAAGTGCAGTGCGAAACACATGCTCGCAGCGGGCACACGTCGCCAGGCCCAAAAGCCCGGGATTTTCCCTGACAGCCCGGCAGATCGACGTCTCGTTGAGTCGATTTTGAGAGGAAATAGGGGTCACCGGGAGAGGGAGGCCGACTTCCTGATCCTGTGAAAGGTCTCCTTGGCGGGAAGGAGCGGCAGACATCGGGAGAGTCTGCCTCCGCAGGGGTCCGGGGCCGGGCTACCGGGGACAAGGTTCGGACGTATATCAAGCAACTCTAGAGGACAGTCTCAGAGCTTCAATGTTATATGCAAGTGAACTAGATATCTTATGCAAACCAATTGGTCCGAAGATACAGAAACAAGTAGCCTCCCTCGCAGACTTCTGATGCGGCGGCGTTAATTTTTTTTATTGGAGCGACGCGAGTTATGCCGCGGAGGGACGGTCTCCGCGCATCATATCAGAAGTCTGTGAAGGAGGCTAGATAAAAGGAGGTATGATGTTGATGTGTCCGTGAAAGCAGCATGTGATCGCCTGTACCATATGCACTTTTCTATAGACAATAGAGTGTACTTTTGACAAATAAAGTACAGTGACAGTCTAATCCTACCAACTGCCAAGATTGAGGCCTTGGTGCTGCAATTCCAATAAACAGATAAACAAAATTATCCCAACCATGTATAAATTGGCTAAAGAAAGACTTCTTTTCAATAATTGATATTTAGGAAGCACTGGCTAAAGAAAGACTTCATTTCAATAATTGATATTTAGGAAGCACTGGCTAAAGAAAGGCTTCTTTTCAATAATTGATATTTAGGAAGCACCCCTTATACTGTACATGCAGTTGGCCCAAAGCCAGCTCGTGTCGGTAAAAGGCACTCGGCGTCTCACGGAAATATCGACGGAAATTTGGGGCTTGAAACACCCACATAGATCTGAGGAACGATTCTCAACAACTGACAGGCATAAGATTTGTATTCATCCTGTTGGCATGGGGCCATGGACAACTGATCGTGCACCCCTATTTGTAAATTGTAGGTATGCTTGCTGCCAGTTTCGTACCCGAGTGAGATCCAAAGTACGATGTATCATCCACATCGGCAGTGACTCGTAGTCCTAGCAATTGTGCCGCTGACTACTAACGGTGACGTAGGTGGCTGCTCAGACCCAATAAAGTAGATACACATTGTTGATCATCCTCATGTGATGTGATATGCAAAATTCCCTATACCATGGTATAGAACAGAACCTTTGCTTTACGTTTAGAAGTAACGTCCAGCAGTGCACAGTGAACCAGTAACACCTAGCTTCAGTGCACAGTGAACCAGTCATAATTGCCTGCGATGAAGGTGGAACACAACAATATAAGAAGTCTGGTTGTGTCATTTTCTTAAGTAGGTGGTTGTGAATAACGAACTCCGGAGTTGTCAGCGTCAAGCACCAGGGGAATATTACCTTGGCGCTGTCCTGAATCAGTGGACAATCATCCTCCTAATCCGACCCTGATCTGTTGTGGATTATGAACTGGTGGGGGCTCAGTGTACTATTTCCCCAGACGTTATCTCTATATTCTTAAGGCTCGTCTTCTTTTGTGGTTTATAAACCGTGTCATTAGAATGCAACTTTTCCATTTTCTGTCCTCTTTCTTTTTCGTTCAGACTGTTTTCCTGTTTCCATTCTTCTTTCCTTTTTTTCATTTCTCATCACTTTTTTCCTTCCATCCTTCTTGGACCGCCCCCTCCCCATCCCTACGCTTGGGCCTGGTAACTTAAGAAGTACAAGGCACCAAATACTATTGCCAACCAGATCAGCGCTCTTTCGGTGATTATGTGGATTTTCTCTTAAGTCCACATCCACGCATGGTACATTTTAGGACAAAGCGCTTGAGACAAGAACACCCCAGGAGACTATAGGTATCAGGTATTGGCCAGTTTCCCAAGTCGAGACAAGGTTCTGGTCTTTGTAAAAGAATCAAACATTCATTTTGAACATGAATTTATTGTCGATCTATCTTGGTTCCCTTATGACCACCATTTGCCATCTCTTCTGCCAACTCTACTGACCGTTCTCGAATTCTAGGCTGACAAAACGACAAGGAAGAAGACAGAAACCATCCCTGCTCAAAGAAGCGGAAAATCCAATCTGCAGTAACAATCTACTCGGCATTCTCCGAACTTACACGTTCCTTCGACACAATAGAATAGGATGACAGCTTACAAATTCAATAGCGTTTATCAAGTGTGTTTATCTCGTCTGAGGGCGCCTCTGAGTCTGAATACTCCGTGTGGGGCTGTGCTTTTTAAGGTACATACTTACATGTACATAGTTGGCATGGTTGTTTTACATGTCTGCACTGTTTGTTAAAGGTACAAACGATCGACCACGCCGATAAAGTAAAGGTTAACCTGTTTTGTTCACGTAAGATCACGGACTGGCTGTAGTGTGCGATAAAAATAACGGTCCATTCGCGTGTGTGTCTAGCCTCTACCAGGCTTCAGAGGCGGCTGAAAAGAGTAGAAATCGGCCAGATATAGACAGGTAAACTGTACTCCTTTAGCGCTCGGACCAACTCCCCTGGCATGTTATCTGCCTGGTAGAGGCTAGTTTATATCTACGGAATTAAGAACCGGACTTTGAAGTGTGTCTGGAGTCACGATAGTCCGGTTCGGAAATACTTCACTATTCATTGCACACGTTTACAACTTTACATACGTCACACTGTTGCCCCAAGAAAGAAATATTTAACCTTCACCGAAGTAAAGAAATATTTTGTTTAAGAGCTACCTACTTAATATCTTGTGTACGGAAACTCAAGAACGTCGCGACGTCGTGGAAAGAATGCCCAAAGGAGTGTCAGATTTCCTGTAATCTGTTTCAAAATTGTAAACTAATAATATTACCGTTTGAGACCGTTGTAGATTTGTACAGGTGTGTCGATGCCTTTTTTCTCAAGATTCTTCAATGTTTATTTGACAAGAATTTTCGATACAAGAAAGGAACTAGAAGTGATGTATCGTTCGCCGTTTCAGAGTTTGTAGAATTTTTCAGCATTTTACCATAGGAGTAAATGTGTCGAACACTCCCTCTCACTAGACTTGCCCCCTTCTGTAACATTTCATGTACATGTACTACACATGATGTCACTAGGAAATGCGGTCATTGGCGTCATTGACATGTCCACCATAAAAGCATCACGTGACGAGGGCTCGTCCAATCAGCACTCCCAAAGCTCACGGCAGGTGAGACTTGGTAGTGGACTTCTGTCAGACGACAGATGTGGATGACGTAATGTCCGTTCCGTGCGACGATCCGGCCCGACCTTGCGTGTGACTTTTATGTAAGCCTCTTGTCTTCTGGGAATCCCGGGTTTTGTCGCAGTTTGGTGTCCTTTGACTGGGCCGTAACTGAACTATTGAGGCGCACGTACAATGGGAGACAATGTGTGTGGGTGGGGCATAACCTTTCATCAACAATAACACCCGCAGGCAACTGCATCTCCAGGCATGCCCCATTTCTCGCGGAGAATTTGCTCCAATTGTTCATTCTGCGGGGCTCACCTTGACAGGCCTCTGACAGGGGAATAAAACAGGTGGGCGGGAAAACACAGGTCCTCCGCCGTCCGGCCGGGTTGTCCAAATACACACATCCTGCGCAGGTGGTTCGACATTGATGCAGGAATCACAAACACACGCTGTGTTAGTTCTGCCTCGGCCAGAATGCGATCGTGGTTCCAACAAAGGCTCCTTCACTGCTGTCTTTTTTGTGGAGGAGCTGCGCTTTACACACGCAGAATACCGCGCAATTGCGACGCGCGGCCGCCGTACTCCCACCCCCATTAGAGCGTCTGGGGTCAGCTGGGTTGAAAGGGAGACTGAGGAGCGTGATGAAAGGACAAGACATTAGTAAGGGGTGTCTGTAAAGCCAGCGTCGATTGTTTTCCTCTCCGGCCAAATGTACCACTTCAAGATAACACGCGCAGCACCTAACGCACCGCGTCGCATGGCTGCCAACCCCTTCAACTCCTTCCGAGCGCGTTTCAACAATCGGAACAATGGTTTCTCTCACTGCCGACCCGACGTGATCGATGAGAAGTTTGCCTCAAGTCGCGTGGCGATACTTCAGGCGTGGTTCAGATTAGGGCCAGCCTATACTCTCCAAGCAGAGGTCTAGACTTCGGCATAGCAATCTTTTTGACGTGTTTGTACACGTTTATCGGGCTCTCTTTTTTATTCTGGTATCATTTAGAAAATGGTAACTGATGGTAACTGCCTGGCCAATTGGACACTGACTGGCCAAATTTGATACTGTCCTTACAGCCACTAACAGATCTGCTTGCAGATTAGCCACGCAGTCACCGCGCTAGCCCACGGCGGCCAGACGTCTATTTTTGCCTTGCTGCTTTCTCTTGTCGGGCGCTCTAATTCGAGTCTAAAATAGAAAAGGGGGCTGCTTTGGTTATCACAACCGGGCCAGGTAATTGAACCAATGTGCAAACATTACGAGCAACAACAGATGGCAGAGCGATAGCAGAATCTCTGCTTGTTCTCTGCAATTATCCAGAACGTTAAGTGCTGCCATTTGGGAATGTTTTCTTGATCTTCGTTCCCCTTCAACGTGGAATACTTTTACCAAGACACAGCATGACTTACCTCTTTGAAACGAGGCATTTTGTGTGCGTTTGAAGGGTGAAGGACGACGCCATTGTCATGTCGTCCAACATTATTTATGAGGCTACTGACCCCTCATACGTACATGGTTCTGTCAGGAGTTACGCGCTATCTCTACTCCACACCTGTACATGATGACAAGCGCCCAGAAACACCTGATTAGATGACCTGGTTCCTGAAACCGATGGGCGTCGCCCTTTGGTCTTTTACTGTCGTGATTGGAGCTAGATATTACTGATAGTGGCGTCATGTTTTAATTCATGTACCATCCTGCATGGGTTTTGCACTGAGTGAACTGACTAACATCATAATATAATCTGTGTGTCCGTACATGACAACAGCTAAAGGAATGAGAACAAAACAACAGACTACATTTCAACAAGTGCGACATGACGGAACTGCGCTCATTGCGGTCTGCTTCAGTGAAAACCTCGGTCGGATCGCTCGCTGTGACTGCGAGCAGGAAATGCACTATATGACGGTACAGAGCACCAAACACTGCATGGCGTTGTGCTGTGTTTACTGTCGGCTATTTTTGACATAGTGCGTATATATGGTACGTCAGCATATCAGATAACACAAGTGAACAGGAAAGTCTGTCATGAGACACTAAGACATAACGTCACTAGAACACCACAAACACCTGTTCTCTTGTGGTACTGGTCACTTCACAGGACAATGCAAGAGTCCCACGGATATGGATCATAGAACTTGTCCGGCCCTTAAAGGTTAGGTTAAGGTCTCTCCGGTAGGTGTGATGACGTCCAGACATTTGATGTTTGCGGAGTGGCTCGTGTCGTAAGGAAATTAGAATGGAAAAGATAGAAGGAAGGGATCATCCAGTTCACTTGTCTTAAACTTGAAGGAATGTGCCAGTTTGTTCAACTAAGACACATTCGGTATATATATACTTATTTGTAGCTATTTAGATATTCATTCCATCCGGATCTTCAAACAATGTCGATGTCTCGACGTATTAGATTTTAGAGTTCAGTTTGGATGTTAGGCCTTCTGAGAAACCGTTTTCCTGGTCTGGGTGCCTTTAAGGAGATCGAACGGGACAGATTGAGAAGGTCGTGTTTGGAAGGACGGGAAGACCGGAAGCAAGAGGAGCTGTCGGCTGAGAGATGACGTGCCCAGGCCGTCACTCACTCTGCCCGACGTCGACAGAACTCTGCTACCTGGAGATGGGCTAATCTCCAAGCAGATCTTTCGGTGGCTGGAAAGGACACTATCAAATTGGCAAGACAGTATCATTGGCAGGGCTGCATCCAATAAACCACGAAAAATACCAGTACAAAAAGAAAACCCGATAAAAACGCCTAAAATGCGTCAAAAATCAATTGAAGCCTAAAGCTGTTCTTGAAGAGTAGGGATGACAGCCAAGATCCCATCCCTGAGATCAACACACAGGCGAGCCTTAAAGTGTTTATCCCCATCTGTATGTTCCACCAACAGTTCAGTACCCAGACGTGCACGTATTTTGACCTCGTATTTAGCAAACTCGTCAAAGAAAGTCAGTCTTTAGGTTATTTGTTTAGGGAAGAGAATCAGACAGTTGTCAGACGCAGGGCAGTGCACTATGACGGCCCCGGCCATGACGACTATTCCTAAGTGAGCCCGACGACAGAGGGAGTTTTACATCGCCCCACCATCCAGCCCCGCATTAAAGAAGCACTTCCAGCACTGATCCAAAACAATATCCGGTGTAACGACCCAAAATATACCCCTGGGTACGGTTTTGCTATTTTGGCCTGCACAAACACGAGGTCAGCGTCCTGGTGGCCAGGGCCGGAGGTTAATCCTTGATGGACAGCGCCAGAGCTGTCCTGGCAGTGAGGCCGAGACTTGTCACTAACCTGTCAGCGCTAAGTAATCGTCATCTTCCTACGACTCAGCACACGTCCTTCATGCCTTTTGCGCCCCGCATGCCTCTGTCAGCCCCGACCGGTGTTTTTTATTGTCGTTAACTCAGCCAGACTAGGAACGTATCATTCACCTGTCCGCACGACGTTTCTAGCACACGGCTGAAGGCTTGGTTCGGATCGTAGCGACTTCAAATATATGTCTAGAACAAGAAGAAATCTGTCATAAAGCAATGCACCTTATGCTAACCTAACCTAACTAACTAACTTGGAAGTCGTCAAAAGTTGTCAATGTATTTTGCACGGCATCTGAGCTTGCTTACTATCATAGTGGAAAAAGGATATGTCTTGTTGGATAAAGTGAGAGTTACTACACCAGGTTTAACTATATACGATCATCTACAGGTGGTGCCTGCGGTGTGATGTGCTCCAAAGTTACGGCAAGTTACCGTCGTGTTGAACTCCAACTGTTACAACATCGAAACCCGCTGTGAGCTTTGGATTTGATTTAGTTACTTCTAATCTTTTTTCTCTTGCTCCATCGGAGAGACCAAGAGGTCCTCTCACCGACACCGGAGTCGCTCCGTCTGCCAACCTCCTTACATTTCAGTCGTCAGAAAGCTCCCGGCACATGGGCCAAATTAGCAAGCCAACACCTGTAGGCTTTGCCAACCTTGACGGGAAGGGCAGTAACCTCGCCTGACTGCCAAGAACACAGGGTCCGGATTCTGACGCCGCGTGGGCCCCTCGCCTCGCCCTGTCTGTACGCGAGCTGTAGCTGTGTGGGTGGGCGAGGCACACCAGAAATCGACTTCGTCAACCCAAGTGGGTATGGCGGCTATGCCCTAGTGTAGATCACCAAATAAACAGTGGGTACCATTGTGAAAAACTATATATAAAGTATTATTTATTACCCAAGAGAGAAGCTGAATTTCTTAGCCTCACCCAGCACTCATGTACATCACCGTCACTCTATACACGGATGCATGTTTAGTTCCCTGTTCCGTATCCTCGGTCGTCTTTCAGTAGCTCATATCTGCGACTTCTCATCACTCGTTCAACGCTATCACAGGCGGGACGATAGGGAAGACACCCCAAGGTTCTCTGTACTGATGTACTGGGCTGGCGATCGGAAAAGGCCTCATCGGACAGAGCCAACCTAGGTCGTCAATGAAGAGACCAGGGCAAGGTCTTACTTCTGATGTCCAGATCTTTGAAACACAAACATATATGCTTTCTTAGAACATCTGTATCATTCAAGAGACCGGTCCAAGAAGACCGGTGACTAACTCGTACCCCGACTTCTGAATAGGTATTTTCTATTGTCCTCTTTTGACCTGCGTCACCCTGTGAAAAACATCGTCAATAGAAAGTAACGGACAACTTGCTTGTGTAACCACACTCAGTGTTTCCATTTGTTTCTCTTGGCCAGTCAACATTTCCGTTTCCTAATGGTGTTTTTAGTGCGAACTACAATAGCACTGAGACAACTTCTCCTCCAATTCTTACTGCGCACTTGAAGAAGGGGTGTATGTTGTGACTACGCCCAGCCTGTCTGTCGGAAATTGGACGGCCTCGCGTCTCTAGCTCCTCTAAATCCGATTACAGAGATGGCCTCCTCCTCTCTCCCGTCTCTCCTCTCCACGGGAGCGCATTTGCGCGCCAGCCAAAGCACACAGCAGGGTTCTAATTGAAATATTAGATGGCCGCAAAAGACTGAAGCTTGCAATAATGGTCATGATGACAGGGAGATGTAGAGATAATGGAATCTTGCCACAGGCATAGCTAAGACCCTTAGATTGTCATTTCAGATATGTATGACAAGTGTCACGATTGATTGCATACACGCGCACGCATACAGTACTTTTCGCCATCGTTGGGCTTGCTTGAAAGTTGATCTCCAAGCAGATCATACGGTGGCAATGCGGTATCCTTTGGCCAGAGGAGTGTCCATCTTTGGTGGCTAGCTATGGACACTCGTCTGGCCGATGGACACTGCCTCGCCACCGTATGATCTGCTTGGAGACTACTTGAATGTATCCTAGCTCGCACCAGGGGAAGAATGACTAATAGGGAAAGCAAACATCAAGTCATTTTTAGAAATCCCCTGCTTTCATTTTTGTTGTTTACTTTTTGCATTTGAAGCTGACAGACAGCTGTGCTGATGAATCATCATATAAAGCGGTTTAAAGCGGTTTCCGGCTTGCTGGAAGTCTGCGGTTCACCATGTATATGAACAAGACGGAGGTTTCCTCGGTATAGTGAAAAGCGCGCCAGCCTGTTCGATGTCAACTGTCCCTGTCCGGCACAATTGTGTCAATGAGCTTCTCTGGCTTCTCTGGCGCGCTTTTCACTATACTCATTCAAACCGAGGAAACCTCCGTCTTGTTCATATACATGGTGAACCGCAGACTTCCAGCAAGCCGGAAACCGCCTAAAACCGCTTTATATGATGATTCATCAACATAGCTTCCTGTACTTTGGAAGGAGAAGAATAGGAGTCATTCTTGGTAATCCATCTCCAAGCAGATTCTTGGGGGCAAGGGGAGTTTACACACATGACTATTGCCCACCTGTAACCATTACGAGTACGAAGGGGACATGGTGACTGCCTGGCCACTTTGATACTGCCTTGACCCCGAGTGAATCTACTTGAAGATAACATTCTCGTAGTGGTCTTAACTTATAAATATTCCAGTTCATCTACTGGCTACTCATCATCTTCATCATCATCGATGATACCACCAGATGTCATCTCTGGAAGCTGTATGGATCCTCTTGCTCCTCTGGCTACTAATGGACAAATTAGTCTGAAATCTAGATAAAGCTTAACGAAACCCGCACTAACGTTGAATACATATCACGTAACTTCAAATGAAAGTTAGATAAATATTCACAGGAGAGTGGTTCTGTTATTGGCCACGTACATATCGGACGATTAGCCCTTCTTATCTAGGTATGTTAATACTTGTTATCTGGATGTATGAAAAGCCACTTACCGACTGCCTGTGTTTTCATAGGGAAAATCATACTCCTGACTTTTGTAGATTCTTCAATTAAAGTATTCTTGTTTATAGTATTGTTTAACACTCGACTTGAACCAAGTACATGTTGGATAATGCAGGGTATCTAAATGTGTTATCCGTCATGGAAAGCGAATGGAGGATTAGAACGGGAAAGGTTGACCGCATTGCCAGAACTCTGCACTCCGCAGTGGACTAGGACGGTCGATGATATCTCCAGGTCAGGTTTGTAGATAAAACATAATTAAGAATGAAAAGGAAACCATCTGATAGTCGTGCGAAAGAGTCCTGTATAAGGTGTAGCCCGTCCACACGGTGACACATCATACAAGCGGCGGAAACTCGCCTCAAAACACCCCGAATTCTTGTCAATTACCGAGGTCTCTGGCGGGTTTTTATCCCGTTACGTTCCTCTCCATATTAGTTTATCTTCTACCCGAATGTTATAGATATTAATTAACGGCACCTGTATTAACACATGCCACGGGGGCCAGGCGCAGTGACAGTTGCCGTTTAGTGACTTCAACAGGTTAAGATTTAGATCAAACGGTCTGTTCACAAAATGAAGAAAATGAAAAAAAAAAAAAAAACAGAACAGAGAACTAAACATTTCCAGTACAATGTAGTCATCTCAATGTTGTGTCGTTGGAAGAAAATGTAATGCTTTGTCTTAAATCAAATGTATTGTATCATATTATAAGATATAATTCTTCATCGTCAATGCATTAAACGACTCTAAATGGGGAGGCGAGTTAGTGCATTGTGCCTTCTTGGCTCGAGTAAGGTTGATGTTTTGACGGTACGTACATGCATGATTCGACAAACATACAGCTTGTTTACAAGTTCGTCACGACCTTACAGCAGTAGTTCAATTGGTTCAGGATGTTGTTGATGGTACAGAGCGGTGGAGAGTCTGGCAGTTGGTATATGCTTGACCGGCCGACCCTGGTATTACTGAGACAGAATGATGAGATGTTCAAGGGAAAGGGGAGTAGCCTGGACCAATTGACCGCTAGACAGTACAGTTTGCCGCACTGTACTCTCTAGCGGACCAACTCCCCTGGCATGTTATCTCTGTATTTGGCCGATTTCTACTCTTTCTAGCCGCCTTCCGAAGCCTGTTAGAGGCTAGGAATAGCCTGGGTACCATCCTATTTCATGCCGGAGCTCCTACACTCGCTTCCCTAACAACTAGGCTAGGAGGGGTGTGGGTCTTCCAAATGGCAGCTCGAAGCAGATGAATCGGTCAAGTTTATTTTGCTGGTCCATTGAGGACTTTTCTACGTTTATACTGCTCTGTTCATCTAATGGTACACTTTTTCGAGGAGCGGGAGGGCAGTCCAAAGAAAGCAGTATAGCGCCACTAGAAAAAGCAGTAGAAGCACAAACTCTGTAAGACCTCGAAAGACTAACAAAATAACCATCTGACTAGAGACTACCACGAATGATCTTGCCTCTGCGGGTTAGCTGTTACCGTGTTTTCAGTCACAATAGTGCCTTCCCACTTATTTCCATGTATAGTGCTTGCTTGGACTGCACGTTTTTTCTGTGTGTATTTTCTTCGGCGTATTTTCGGAGTTTACTATTATTGTCCTTGTTATTGCTATTATAAAGTTGACCATAGTCTCAGCCTACCGGATCTGTAACACTATGAAGTAAAATACGTCCCTGCACTTGAATATACACGCTGTATAAGTTACTAACATAACGATGTGTACTGGTGCGTTCGTGGCCGCAGGTTCGTTAGAATCACTTAGCGTCTTGCAGAGTTGTATCATTGGCCAGGATCCAACACAGGAATATCACCCCTCCACTCCTGGAGACCCCTTGACTCGACGGAGGTCCGATTTCATAATTTTGTTGCTTCTTCTGAAAACATACAAGATGTCGGCCATCTGTCCAGACAAACAGGGTCTCGCGGAATCCCTTACAGATGTGCAAATGTGCTAATGATTTTCTTTGAAGTCACGTTCACTTATGATCTGGTGGAAAGTATCTTGTAACGGTTTCAGACCGTTTCCTTTCGCGCCTCTTCATATTTCCTTTGATCAGCACACATACGTATTGCATGATCAAGAACAATGATGTCCTTGGTATGAGCCGAAGGTGGTAATTTTTCTCGTGAATACATCCTGAATACACTGAGGTTTACCGAATATACTCTCCAAGCAGAGATTTCGGCTTCTGCCTATTTCTGGCATGTTTTAGGCGTTTTTGCTTGGCTTTACTGGTATCTTTCTTTACGCCAGCCAAACCTCGGGTTTACAAATGGTAACTATAACTGCCTGGCAAATGGATATTGCCAGGCCAATTTGATGCTGTCTTTGCAGCCACCAAAAGATCTGCTTGGAGATTAGACGTTTCATTGATTTTTATTAACTTGACGAAATATAAAGAACGTATTACTTTTTTGTTGCACCCCATACATACAGTCTTCACAGATGTACAGACTCAGAGGCTTTCCTCGGTAATTGCTGTTATTGCTGCTGCAGATGGAGCTAGAAGGACCCCGAGACATTCGGTTGCTATTATGAGTTACAAAACACGCATAACTATTTACAGTAACGTCGTGCATGCTCACCCAGCAGGAATGACCAACAGCGATACAAACTAGATCCCCACATTCCTCAGCCATCCGCAGGCCCACTGAGCTAGTCCAAATTAAATCAAAGCCAGTTGGACGACAAATGTTTTTTCTCTCCGACTGAAACAGCAACGTGGGAATAAGGGAAGGAATGCGGCCGAGACAAACGCAAACAAACGATTAATCAACATATTATTCGCTTTATTTACTTCAATATAGGATTAATTTGTACAAATTAACAAGACGGGGTACTGTCTTTGTCATACTTCGGTTGCAAAAACTGATAACATAATTAGGAGCACAACAACAGTGTTTGTCGCTGCTATCGTTATGTACCATGTGTATAAACTGTTCTTCATATGAAACTAAAACAATACTGACAACTATTTGTACGTATGCTTATGTTAAAAATGGTATTGTACTTAACAATCAGTCACATTAACTTTGCTTTCGACACAGATTAGCAAGCTCTTATACATTCCATTGCAGCGTCAGGGTATAAACTGTCTATAAAATTTCATGAGGGGAATAAATTGACTAAACTCTTATGCGGTCCTTCTCACAAAACGGTCACAGCCGTTTTCAACAAATACCTGCTAACACCTTTGCGAAATATATATTACTGCCTCATTGTCACTTCTCTCAAAACGATCCAAGTTGAAATAGCACAATATATCGTCCGTTTCCATAGGAAGTTCAGCATGTCCCCTCAAGTCCCCCTAGGTCTACATCAACACTGCCAAGTTTAAGAACACCCTGACGTCCACGCCACCTCCCGCTGTGTCAGTCGATTGAGTTTGAAGCTAGGTCTGTTTTATAATGAAAACAATGTCTTACCTCTCATATGATGTTATATACAGGACAAATATACAACTTTCTTACATCGCAGCCGGGAACGTATCAAGTTACCTAGTCTATTAAGTAGAAACAGGAGATAATCCCCTTGGAATTCACCGCTGTCTCATCCTGTCTCCTCACTAACGGGGGGTCAAAGGCCGCGCAGGGCCTGCTCCCCGACAATAATTTAAAAAGAGAACGGGCTCTTTCAATTCTTCCAGTCCTCTATCATCACTTTAGGACACACATGCTGCTAGTTTACTTCTTCGAGTCGAATAACTCGGTGTGATGGTTTGGGAGATAGGTAGAGACTTATCAGAAAAAGGTGTACATACAGTACGTTATGAAAATGTAGCCTGGGTGCCATCCTATTTGTACATGTATACCGTGGCTCCAATACTTGCTCCCTGAAAAATATTTTTGGGTGGAGAGTATGGGAGCCCGGTATACAAACATAAGATGGCACCCGGGCTATCTGGCCTCTGAAAAACAGAAGGCACCTGAGACTCTGAAACAGCTACTAGTACAAACAAGAGAGCGGGGAAGGTCGCTATGTGGGCGGACGGCGCAGGCGGATGTGCCGATCAGTCGTCGCTCCTGTAAAGTCCCCAATTCTCCGCTCTTATCGCCGCTTTGATGTTTCACCCACGTCCGACAAAGATAGACTGACTGCGAGTCGAAAATTAGGAAAGTTCGTAGCTCTTCAGTTTCGCCCCATTGACCGAGTCGGTGTTGTAGGGGTTGTTGTTGGTTTGGCGCGACGACTGGCTAGTTTCTTAGAAGTGACGGACACTCCTGGGTCTGGTCATCCTGCACTGACACCTGTCGCTATTTAATTAAGGCTACGTGGCTTACGGATTTCTGTAAATCAATGAACTGTGAGCCATATGGTGGCTTCAATGCATACACATAGGGCTCATTATCACAACTATGGGATTTGACACTGATCTATATCTCCAAAACTATTTAGCAACGCATAACCCGACATAAAAAGATACACGTTATGACCATAAGACTATTCTGTTCAGCAAGTTTGTGGCTATAGACTGTCTGGACGGCCTATGCAATGTGTATGAAGATAAATATGACAATTCTAAAAGACTCAACAAGTCGGTAGGATATAGATAATGATGCAAAGACCAATACTTCATGTTTTCACGGTGGAGTGACACCACCACTCACAGTCAAGTCGCTGGAAAGTCTCTAATTTTCGGTGTAGTTGTTGTACACGTTGTCGTCACTCATCTTGCGTCTTGCGACTGCCCTTGGAGACGGTCAGGTTCTTTCTTTGGCACTCTGTTTGGCACTTTGTTTGACACTGTATTGTGATTCAGAACATCAGTTGCCCCTGTCATCACGTATTGGTTAGATCGGTAGTTGTGCTTGGAAGTATCTGTTTTTCTCGACTAGAGTTCGTAACTTGAGCTTCGCCATGGGACTGAGAACTCCATTCTTGCGGATCGTGCATGTCGTCGTCAACTTGGACCAAATGTTCGGAGAATTTCGAAATTCGGCAAGAATATTCGTTGCATTCAGGGAATTGTCTGTTAGGAGTTGACAATAATACAGGAGAGCGAACTTGAACGTCCAAAGTAGTTGTTGCAACCCCCGACTGAGTCTCTCGCCAGATGCCAGCCTCTCATTCGGAGCAATGCACTCGCCTATCTATCTCTATTATTGAGGTCCTTTGTCGCATACTTTACTGCCTAGACGGTCGCTTCTGTTTTCTTCTGTTTCGTCTGCGCTGTTTCTTCTGCTTCTTCCTGTACCTGACAAGTCTCATGGCTCTGTTGGTCGGCAGGCGGGACGACTCGCCCATATTGCGCGGGACGAACTGGGCGGAGGCCCGGGACCTCTTGGTCCTGCGCCCGTTCCTGGGCTTCCCGTTCTTGTTCAGGGCCACGCAGAATTTCCTGGCCTCGGGACCCGAGTGTCCGTACAGGATGGACTCGTACACCTTGTACCCAGCCTTGTCCGTCCATTCCGTGAAGGCCGTCTCCTCGCCAATTTTGTCCTGTATTAAACGATATGAGAAGAGGGGGAAATGAGTTTTTTTTTTTAAATTGAGAGAAAAGAGACGTCCACTGATCACTTATATAATATGCAGACTTAGTTATTATGTGTTATCCTATGTTGGTGTCGTGAATCCGTATGTTCTGTTCGTGCCTGTATTTAGATGTACATGTAAGGTCAATACAATTCAGCAGTCCATAATGTTTGTTCGTTTATGTACTGCTGCCATGTTGACCATTGTTTGAATAAAAAATAATAAAGAATCATAAAGTAGATGTGAATATCAACATATGTATGTATGCATATCTTATCATGGCCGCGTATCACACTAGGAGTCTGTATGTTGGGGAGTTAGCTTTGCTCTGTTGTTCATGTATTTACGACTTTCGGGCCTTGAACTTTGAAACTTATTGATTGACAGCCAAGTTCGTGCCGTGCCCGTGGAGTTTGTCTGGTCGGCAGAGACGACTTTATCTAACCTCCACTTGACCGCCGCGCCCCCAAGGTTACAAGTGTCAGCGGCATTCCGACTGTACAACGACACTTCCGGTCCCATCAAACACCGCGGGCGTGTTTGGGACAAGAGCCACTAATCTCCAAGCAGATCCTACGGTGGCAAAGACAGTATCCATTGGCCAGAGATAGGCTAATGGACACTCCTCTGGACAATGGATACTGTCTTGCCACCATAGGATCTGCTTGGAGACAAGAACGACCACGTACTCGGGATAGTTTCCTATTCGCAGTTCTCAGTTCGTTGCCTGCCCAATACCCCGTACATGATGTGTATCAACACCAGTTGGATTGACATAAAAGTTGACTACAAATGATTAACCTCCTTGCTATCAAGGGCAGCTCACTAGTGTACGTACACATTGCAGATTTTATGATTTTCAGTACCTCTAAAATTTTACATGTTTCAATCTCACTGGTTGTAGATTATGTCGAGGAATGATTCTCGTACTTTGCAATTGACCACTGGGACCCAGGGCTGAATCCAGAAAGGAGACCACGGAAAAATCGACGTGTTGCTGCTCTAACGTGTCTGCTTACAAGATATGTTCAGTACCGGCGGAAACCTGAAATGTACTAGTGTAGTCGAAGACATTTCTGTAAAGTCACGTTCGCTCTTCTTTGTCGGTAAACGTCATTGACTAAGACTGTAGTTTGCCTTGTACGTGAAGTACAAAGCGGGAGCGACAAGAAGTAGGTAGGAGGGACGGCACGGGGTCGTATGCTTGAGGGACTGCACACATGGGAGGATCAACATTGCTCAATGGGAAACGATTGACGGAAGGCACCTTGCGCCGCACGTTTTAGAGGTCACATGTACCGTGATTCAGCGGACATTCCTGGGCTGAATGCTAATCTATAATCTTTACAACTGTGCCATCAACGCGTATACCGACACGTAGAGGTTGGATACAGCGTGTTTGCTACAGTTTGGGCAGGTTACACATGGTCACAAGTTTCCGTAAAAGCTGTCTTCAAACAAGATTTTCTTCTGGACCCAAAACGCGTGAAGCTCAAGACGAATCTTATTCGAGGGGGGGGGGTAGATATTGTCCATTTCGTCTTGCAATGGCACCTTCAACATTACGCCAATTAGCCTGGAAATACTCAGTTTTACTTCTCAACTAGTTGTCAGTTCCTATTCATTCGCCTCACTACTCCTGGCGGAAAGAAGTAGAGTGAGAGGCAGCTAGTCAGTCACGATGACTTTGTTGATTCCTGCTGAACGCTGTTGATGCGGAGGTTCCACCCGGGTTTGTTTACAAAATCCATCACGCAAATGAAAGTAAAATAGACGGAAAATAATCAACAAGCCATCTCTACAGACGATGCTGGAGCCTCGCAAAGCCGAGGGCAAATGTATGTCTTTGTACTGAGGAATGTTGTTGTAAGATAGCATCTAACTACTCAAACGGCCGCCGTTGTTTAGACGCGCGACTGTTGTCCTTCCTATACACTTGTTCAAAGACGTCCTATTGACCGACGTCAAGCCTTCTGACATCGCCCGTTTGTAGATGTTTGACTTGTGCTGCGTGCAAATTTGAATTCACTCGCGTCAAACTTCCGAGAGGCTTAAACATCACAAGACCATTAGCTGAACATCTCCGCCTTGTTGTTTGACACAGTTTTAAGGACCTCACAGTCAGTCTCCGTTGTTGACTAGGAGAGCATTCTGATAACGCGATATATACGGCATATACGGCATACCGCACAGAATAGCCATGTCAAAACGTCAAACTTTCAAATGGGTAAATCGACGCCGGAATTACAAAGTAGTAGTCAAGTTGTCCGTTTGTATATTTTCCTTTTTTGACTCACATAAACTGTAGAGGAAGACAGTACGTCATAGGGTGTCACAGAACTATGGCAAAACTGCGTAGAAAACCTACCGCATGGTAGAGAGGCCCGTAAGCATATCTGGTTACAAATACTATACTTGGAAAGCTTGGGGTTTTTTTTTTACATTCTATTGTCCTTTTTTATTGGTTTTCGTGTAGTATGTGGTTGGTCCTGTATGTCCTGAATATTTCACCCACCTGCGATACAGAAAATTTCTCCTCAAATGATGCTTCCCAGAGTAGTTTTACCCCCATAGTTAAGGCTAGTTTTTTTTAATGTCATGGCACATTAGAGACTCGCTTTTTCTTTCCTACATAAAAATCCCCACCACAAGCCCATCGTCATTTGTTGGGCCTGAGGAGAGACATGTGGTTGTGTGTGCACCGGGTCAGCCCAGACTTCAGTCTACCGCACACAACAGCAACAAATTACGACCTGTGCGGGCAAAGTTAGTGTAAACTTGGGTAAACAAGCTGAAAGGTAGCTTTAGCTCTCACAACAGATAAAGCCAAGCCTGGAACAATTGCCTCATGCCTTCACGTCCGCACCGCGGGGGCTACCGGCGTCCGTACACAGACGGGCTCCCAGTAGCCTCCACCAGGCATTTCTACGGGAATACGGATCGTAGAATTCGGCAAAAAAAAAGAAGAAGAGTAAAATTGGCCTAGGGAGTCCGGCCGCCGGAAGGTACTAGTAGTTTGCGCGGCCAGTCAAACCTGAAGGCGGCCAAACTCCCCTGGCAAATATTCTCCTATATGTAGCCAGCGTAGTTAGTCTGGTAGAGAGTAGGCTCCCAGTCCTGTTTTCTACCGTCTGTGGCGTTCGACGGACGGACCTGTGCCCTTGACACCGCCCTCACCTTTAAGCTCCGGAGCTGAAGCAAGCCAGCGTTAGTACCGAAGTTTCCGACATCGTACTTTTCCATTGATCTCCAAGCAGATGTTTTGGTGGCTACTCGTACAACACAGTGTCAACTTGGCAGGGCAGTATCCAATACGTCACCCGCGAAAAAATACCAACTTGTACAAAAATAAAAACCGATAAAAACGCCTAAATCACGTCAAGACTAAGACTTAGCCGAAGCCTAAACCTCTGCTTGGAGAGTTGAACTTCTCATATTAAAGCCCGTACATCAGGTCGGAGTGTTGCCTGTCTCGCCCTGGCCTCGTTCGAGTTGTTTGTGATGTCTGCCGGCCATACTTTAAACAATCAATGGATCGGGAGGTTACATACAAACAAACGCACGAAACATCAAAATAATACAGTGTAATTGTCTTTGGTGGTCGAAAGCATTTATCCTTGGCTCGCTTTCGCTAATCCGCTGTACAGGGAATCCGTTGACTGAAAAGAGGCACCTTGAATACTGGAGGAGATCCGATTTTTTGTGTGACAAGCTGAGAAAAGCTGCCATGAGGCGCCACTTCTGTTCAAAATCAAGACGACAGTGCAATGGGTTTGAAAAACAGGGTCTCTACTCCCAACATTTGACGGAATCCAAAGAGCAAATACCATCGTGGCAAGTATGAATGTGACGAACATCCGGTCCGTGTCAGTTGCAGACAGCTACAACAATGGCCAAATTTACGCCCCCTCTTCTGTGTTGATCTCAACAAGAAGTCGTATCTACGGGGTGACGTTATGCATCTTTCGTCACTTTTTCTGGCGACCGTGCGGTCATATATTTATGAGCATTGACTTTTTTTATTTTGATGAAAATCATCCCACAACCCCACCCCGCCCCCATAGCTTGTCTCTCAGATTGTATACATCAGATCCTAGCCTGTTTATCAATGAAAGTTCCCAACGTACCTCACGCACTGTAACACTGTAACACAGCCCACCCTTTTCTATAAAGTCGTGGATGTTTTTTTTTTCTTATTGTTTAAAGCCATCTTCAGACTGTACTTGGTGGCAGCGAGTTCCACTCTACGATAGTTCTTGGAAAGAATGAGTTTTTGAACACCTCAATCCTTGGTCGTCGTTTACAACTCGGGTACTTGAAGGCGTGACTACTTGTTCTTTTCTTCGCTGGTATTAAGTATAGTACATCCGCCAGTTTATTAGTTATTTTGTACATCATGCATAGTCTGGACAGCTAGACTGGGGCTAAACACACAATGAGTCAATTAGGAGATCGGTAAAAGATACTACAGTAACTGCTGCATGTATTAGTCAGCACAACGACCCGAACCTGTAGGTGACACCGGTCGTTCTGATTCGTGAGGGATTGCAGAACATCGCACCTCATCATCCCGGGTCGTTCAGCCGCCACCCCGGGTACCGGGGAACACATTACGGGCCCGGCATGCCGTGTGAAGGGCTCACGGTCCCGCGGCCTCGCCGTGTCGGAGCTGGCCTCTGAGTGATGCCTCATTAACCCCCTTGAAACAAAACGTAACCAATCTTATCAAAACAGGTTCAAGAGCGGGGCTAATACTGTGAGACGGGACGCCCGACAGATGACAGCCGCCAGGGGAAGAAAAAGCGCCCTTCTCAGGATAACCCAGACGTTTAAAAAGCCCTTCTGAGGCGACGTCTGCCCAAGCTCAACCGGGATGAAAACAAAACTTGTGACATTTTCTATCCGGGCCGGCAACAAAGAAGGCGACTTTGCAGTATTACCCTAACCTGGTGGTCTTTCCCAGCTGGCAGGTAACGGCAGATATACAGTCACGGAGAGATTTTCATCATGCTCAGTCAAGCCCAAACCCGCTCCCGACCTTGCCTCACGTCTAACAAGACGCACTTATCTGATGTTTCTAAACTCTCCTTCTCTAGGCTAGTGCGGCTTGGCCCTGCGGAATGTACAGATTGATTTGGGTCGGTTCAAACTGCTGGACCAACAAACCCAAATAAAGCCCAAATGCGCCATAACAAATAGAAGGCGGCCAAAAGAACCATAACAAATGCGGACCTCCACAGATTAAGACGATGTGATACAACTGATACGGATTAGGCACAATAGGAAATGATAACGCTCTGATTATTTTAGCTTTTATCATAAAGAAATGGACCAGTGAGACCCATGGGGCTACGTACAGCCACTTTGATCGGCCTGAAGAATCTATTGTACAAGCGTCCTTATCTGCAAATATTTGCGTTTTTCTTCGACAAATACAAAACGAGATCCACGTGTTTGGTTTTCCATCTGATCCATTTGTTTTATCTGGGTTCACCAAACGTACAAAACGATTCACGCGTCCTTTCAAGAATCCGTAACAACTTGTAAGCCCGGTTGGAGATGGGGGGAAGGTATGTTGTTGACGCAACCTTCCTCAATCTTAAGTATGGCCAATTCTTTGCGCCATAGGCTTAATTCGCGGTTTCTCTTCAGAAATTGTATTTAGCCATTCAGTATATAAAATGTTTATTGCAACAGAATTACACTCTTTATTACATGTAAAAACTAAAATCTGTTATTACGAAGGACAGTTTTCAGCGATTACGTTCGAATGTGACCAGTACTCAAAACTCCAACTCTAGTACAAAAACGAGCAGATGACTAATGTGTAAGACAGCTGTCAAGCGACTGGATAGATTTTCAACGTTCAAAGTCTAGCCAGTTTCTTGAGTAACAATTTTCTCGTGTATCTCATTACCTGGATGTCCAACCTTCATCGAGATAACTAAACGGTTCCTTCACCTGAGTCCCCCCCCCACGACCGCCATATGTAAAAACAGAGGATCTCCTTGATCCGCACAATGTACAGAGCTGTGATAACGTACAACGTGACGTTTCAATGGCCTCTACCAGCCTTTGGGTGCGGAAAAATGTACTCTCTAGTGGACCAACTCCCTCGGCATGTTATCTCTCTATTTGACCGATTTCTACTCTTTCCTACCGTCTCCCGAAGCCTGGATAGAGCTAGGCTAACAGAATACTGACACGTACATCCAGGCCACTGAAACCACCGATTCACGTCGAAAGAATCCTCACGATGCGAAGCACTCCAAACCCGGCCCACGGTAAGGACGGCATTTGGCGGAAAGGTGGCCTTTATCGTGCGGGAGAGACAGGGACACCGGCGATCCTGCTTTGACGTGTCTGCCACGGGAGGGAAGATGGATGGAAGCGGGATCGGGAGGACAAACTGAGCAATCAAAACACCGCAGGGTTCCAGGGAACTGACATTTGTCGCTGGAAGAAGTAACTGGTGGGGGGAAGAGGTGGATGGCAAATACTTGTTTGGGTCATAGTGACGATTCCGTACGTTTGCTGTTGAAAACTACACGAAGTCACTCCCGTGATACTAGAACTAAAGAGTATGTAGCTGGAAGGGGGAAGAGGGGCTGGCAAATTCTTCTGACGATTTCCTCTGTAGGTTTGCTGTTGAAAAAACTGTACGAAGTCATTCCCATGATGCTAGAACTAGCGAATACGTATGTAGGGTACAATGAATGAACGTGTGCACTCTTGACAACTTCATGGTTCCTCTAATAAGCTAAAACACATTGCTACACGTACTTTGCCCTTTAAAGTTTTTTTTTTCTGGGCGGATGCAGCTCAGGAGAGATTAGACGTAACTCACCCTGGTTTGTAAGAGGTGAGGAGATGGGCATGAGAAAACGTTAACCTTCATCTTGTGACAATAAAACACTAACAGCTTCCCTTTCGGCGTCGGTGCCACATGGTAGAAGTTAGAGATTAGGGTGTGTTTTAGATTAGGACTCTCGTCTTTCGCACGAGTATAGATTTGGACAGGTCTCTGTCTAATCTCCGCGCGTCCGGGAGACGTGTCCGTCAGCTAATCCCGCGCCTGGCACAGGTAAGGCAGGGAAGTCGTGTTTTTACATTCTACCCTTGGCCTGCTGCGGCGACAAACGCGCTTGTTATGAGGAGTGTAAAAAACGTGGACGACCGCTGACTCGTTAATCTGGAGATCTGGCGAGTATTTATAAAACACACTCGCCGAACACTCCGTGCCTGATGTGGACACTGCTGTGATTTAAGGGCGTTTGAGTATCCCTTCAGTTTGGCGACAAACAGCCCTTAACAACATTCCTTCCCTATCTCTTTCAGGTCGTCGTCCTCACTCAAAAACTTTTCAGAAGAAAGTTGGACTCAGTTGCCTGTATGTTTTTAACACCATGCAGGTGCAGTTGGCACATTTTCTCTCGAAATTAAGTACGTGTCCATCCTGCCATTGCACTTACAGACACATTGCATGGAAACTTGACATATACATGTATCTCCCGAGAAACTGCTTGATTCGTTGACTGTTTAGATAGATAACCAACATCGATCTGCGTATTGTTACATACACCAATCGTTATTACATTGCACAAGTCTCCATTGGGCTAATTAAACGTGTGATGTGGCTTAGTTTGGATCGTTTTTGTTTCGGTATTGTGGGTTTTTTAGTGGCACTTGCGAGAACCAATCATCTGCTTGGAGATTACTTCATGCGCGTCTATGCTGACTTACTTAATACGATTGTTTGGCAGAAATGTTTGACCAGTTGGTGGAAAGCAGATTATCGTTAGCCTCCGACAGGCTCTACGGATTGCTGGCAAAATAGCACAAATCGGCCAAACAAACTGAATTGCATGCAAGAGGGGACAAATCCACCTAGTATTCGGCTAACTCCTCTTGTATGCTGTTCAGTCTATTTGGCCGATTACTATTACGTACATGTACTTTTCCAGCAGCCTTGGGAACCTGGTAGAGGTTAGATTATTGTGCATAGAGGTCCCCCTAGTTGGAAAAATAGCAGAAATTGGCCAAACAAACTGACTGAATAACATAGCCAAAGGAGTTATCCATCTAGAGGCTACAATTTCTCTTATTTTTCCAGCACCCTGAGGGGCCTGGTCTAGGCTACACGTAGATTACTGTACCCACCGCGGCGTAGAGGTCTCCCTTGCTGTTCATGCCCAGGTACCTGCCGCTGAACACCGCCTTGATGCTCACCACGCTGCCCAGACCGGCCGGCCGGATCTCCATGATACCTGCAGGGTGCAAGGGAACGTTTTATACCACAACTCAAACCATTTCTAACTGATCACACAACTTGAAGCCTGGGTGCCAGGCTGATACAAACATGCCCCCAAGTTTTTACCACAGACACCCCCTCAGTAACCCTGAAACTAGTCTGGTATATCCATGATACTTGCAGGATACAAGGAAACGTTTAGCACAACTGGAACCATTTCTCAGTCACGCACCAAGAAAACTAGCTATAGCCTGGATGCAAGACTGTTGCCACGGCCAGTATACAGGCTATCTCTCCTCGGCTCCAGAGCACTGACAGCAGTCTAGCATCTCCCGAGTCATAGCTGGCGTGTACAAGGGAACGTTACAACAATCTCCTCAGACCCTGAGCAACTACGTAAGGGACTGGCCCTCACAACAGTCTAGCATCTCCATGATACCTGGAGGGTACGAGGGAACGTTACAACTTTAAAACCATTTCTCAGTCACACGCCGTGAAAACATAAACACATCAGTTATAGTAGGACTGACCCACATCCAGCGACTCCCACCTGGTCATCAAAGCAAAAATGCGCTCTTTAGATGACGAAGGGCCAGAGGTCAATTTTACAATCACACCTGCATTTTAAGGGCCCAAATGTGTTTCCCTGGCATCGCGTGGAGCAATGGTCAGAGCGGTTCAATGGCTCAGAACGAAGAGGTTCAGGGTTCGATCCCCTGACGGCGTTGTGCCCTTGGGATAGAAGACTTTCCTCCTTCCATGAACGGTAAAGTTACGTATACGCCCACAAGACTTGTAGTCTGTTTGAAGAGAGTCCTAAGATTGATGAGGACACTCACTGATTTTGGTTTTGCAAACGTGGCAAAAACTACACTTTTACCACTATTTGAAAGGGAGAAACAGTTACGATATTTCCTCCTAAGATCTGCTTGGAGCTGTTACACCCCGCACCGCCACCAGCCGAGCGGCAGGCTGGCAGCCCAGCCTGGGTCGTGGGCTGTGTGTTTAGCTTGCAGATTAACGACAAACCAGAAACAGCCCAACTAAGCTAACAATTACGAGCGAAAGGAATTTACTGGTATTAGAATGAAACGGGGGGATTTGGAGATTACTGACTTTTGACCCCACAGGTAGCCGCAGAGATAGCGGGCCGGACAATGGCTCACACACTCACTACTGCAGTTACACGTTAGCCAACAACAATCGGACAATGGCTGCAGGACCATCGCTTTGGTCAGCACACAGCACAACTCAGGGACTGGCGACGAACAAATAGCCTCTACAAGGCTTCGGAAGACGGCTGGAAAGAGTAAAAATCGTCCAAATAGAGAGAGAGCATGTCAGGGGAGTTGGTCTGCTGGAGAGAACAGTCAGTTTGCCGCTCCAAAATGTACTCTCTAGCGGACCAACTCCCTCGGCATGTTATCTCTCTATTTGACCGATTTCTACTCTTCCAGCCGCCTCCCGAAGCCTGGTAGACTGCTAACGAACAAAGGCCTGTATCTTGTATGTAAACCGACACACATGACATTGTAGTCACCGGCTCTGTAACGTGTACGTTTGAGGTTTTGTTTTCAATGAGAGAACAAGCTGCTGGGAGGTCGCCAACATCGACATCAGTCACACGGAGCAAAACTTCCTCCGTGAAATGAGTTTCAGACGTTCTATTTTAGTTCTGCCAGGGAGGTTAGAAAAGTCTTCCTGGTTCTGCCAGTCAAGTGAGGAACTCTTGCCAACATCGTCACAACCATTTCCTCCCTCCAACTTTTTCGGCATGAGAAGAAAAAGGGGGATAACAGTAGGAAAGCCAAAAATCATGAGTTTGAAAACGTAAACGGAATGATATGTGGATTGAGGCATTTTTTTTCTCTGACCAATCTAATCACGTTGTGTTTCCCGGATAGCCCGCTGCCTGCGGCCAGAATATTTGCCATGGCTGTCAACATTCTGCACATATGGTACCCAGAACCGGGCCGATCGTGTCAAACCGCTTCGTCTGACTAGCCTTATCAGTAAAAGAACAAAAGCTCGTGACTGCCTCTCCTAATCTTGACCGCGGCTTATGGACGACTTTCTCGTGGGAGGTGACAAGAAACGCCAGCTAATCATGTATATTGGCTGTATTGAATACTTGGCGAGACCATCAAAGTCGCATTAGTGGCTCGTTAATTTTTCGTTAATGGGCGTGAGGGCCTGCACAGGTCGTAAATCCTAACCCTAACAAGCGCTAATTATTCCGATTCAGACACTAAAGTCTGCGTTGGTGGGGGGAGGTCACCGAAGGCAGCCCTAACTAGCGCCACTCCGGGCTCGCTGTAAGAAGACACGAGCATCGTTCTGGGAGGTCAAGTGGCCTAGGAGTTTAATTATTAGCCTGAAAAATCCATAAGGTTTGTGTTTGGGCCTTGTTGTGGGTAATTCGGTCTCCGAGATGGTATTTTGGCCGGGCGGCTCTGGGGTCTGATCAATCAAGCAGCGCCTGTGGAGGACCGCGCGGGGAGCCTGGCATCCTCCTCTCTCAGCCTCATCAACACCGATTTTCCGCTGGGCGAGGAGAGACTGCCCGTGTCTGTCAACTGTCGTGTCCTCGCGACAACCAGGGGAGGGAGCCCGCAGAGACACGCCGGGATCGTCTGCAAGCCTGTTAATACGTCACCTGTCATCAGCTTTCGTCTAGATTCTCGATCTCGTCCTCCCGATCTGTGTAAGGTTGCCAAAACATCACTTTAAGATGTATTCTCGTCCCTTTGCTAGATGACTCCTAAATAGAAGGCCCGCCAAGACATGCTGAGATCGTCTGCAAGCCTGTTAATACGTCACTTGTCATCAGCTTTCGTCTAGATTTTCGACTTCGACCTCCCGATCTGTGTGTAAGGTTGCCAAACATCACTTCTTTTTGTGACGGGTCCTGGCTCCTTTGCCAGGTGATTTGATATCTGTGGAAGACTCCTAAAACAGAAAAGGTGACCAAATCAAAAGCACGTGGCGATCTTCCCCCCGTTTGGAGTGTTTTCAAAACAGTTCGCAGCCTTCAGAATCCGCCTTTGGTGTGTCTGAAATAGGGCCTTTTGTGGAACAGCTATTCTGGCTAAGTGTTTTCTGAAAACATGCGCACGCTCCACGGCAAGTCGACACCATTCTTCTGTGCAGGTAAAACAGTTCACGGGTTGGCAGTGTTTGGTTCGCCTCTTTACACGGCTACACCACCATGAATACAACAGGTCCCACCTAGCTTGAAATCAGAACCGTTAACCTGGGGTGTTCACAATGCACGGTTGACGTTGGCTCTGCCTTAATACGTTCTCAGACTTCTTTTGGGACCCCTGCCAAGCATTAATAGGATGTAAAAGCAAGGAACGTTGGGTTAGGAGCCTTCTCTCACAAAGTTTCAAAACATACAGACGTACGACCTTTCGGATTGAACCTCCTTGGAAATAAATAGAGTCTTATTCATCCCCCTGCCCCGCAAGGAACGTTGGGTTAGGAGCCAGCCTTCCGCTCGCAAACTTACAGACGTTCGACCTTTGTGTTCAAATCATCAAGGCAGATTGAACCTCCTTGGAAGTAGAGTCTTATTTCATTCCTCTGCCCCTCAAAACAATATTTGGCAACGAATCAGCTCTCTCAGGATGGAAACAAAGTAAACTTGGTAGTTGTGGCCTGACTGTAGACTGCACTGACAAGTGTTGCTGAAATATTTACGGCGTAACGAAAGTTTCGTATCTGGGTATTAATTCAGCACTTCCCCATCTGAGCGCTCGGCATGCCGACAGCGGTACACGAGAACATGTAAAGCCCTGGTACAGCGGAAGGACGGTGGCAGCTCTCGCTACCTGACACTGAGCAAAAACGGAAATTGTGATAACCTTGCGACGGACAGCTTCATTAGCGGAGAGAGGCGGGCGATCAGGAACAAGCGGACGGAAGGACTGAGAAGTTCGGCGGAGCGAGGACCGCTCTGCCACCGTTGGGAAGAACCAACATCCGACCCATCTCAGCCTCCGTCACAACCTATTAACCTGGGACCTTGATAGGGGGATGTAGGCTGTAGAGGGACCGGGCGCGAGTCAAGTGCTTGAGTGGACACGGCACAAAACAAGTCCTGTTCGCCGCGTGTCCCTCTCGATGGTCGGTGGATTTTGTGAAACGCGCGGTGGTCCGCCAGCCACCCGACCGGGGAGGGCGATGAAAGTGCAGAAAGGACCCGTAATGGACGACTTGTTGACAGACATTTTCTGGGTTTTACCACGAGGTCCTGTATGAAGGGGGGCAATCGCGCGCTGCACCTTGGGACAAAGAGATCCAAAAGGCGGGCTGACAGGTACAATACGCCCTGAATAGCCGCCAGAGATTTTTGTTGGCAGGTCTAGAAAGGGGTGCGTGGAGCCGCATTGTCTTCTTGTCAGGCCGGATTGAATAAGCCTTTGCGCCAGGTTTGTAGAGATATGGTCACCTGGAACTCTCCTGTGGAAGGAAAAACACCGCCCCGCGCAGAACAACACGGTTTACCTCACCCCGGGCGCCGAAAACACGCCAATAAATCCACCGCCTCGAGAGGGACTAAAAATAATTACCTTTAAATTACCCCCATCGTGCCCCAAACCACGCCGAGGCGACGCGGGTGAGCGCAAACGGTACACTCTGCGCGAGTTTGCGAACTGAGAGAGCGATCTGTACGGTACACAGCCCGTGTTTAGTTTGAACCTGTTTTATCAGGAGGCTGATCTTGTCCTTCTACAGGACCTTCAAAGCCCCGAGAGGTGTCGGTGTCGGCACCGTGTCCTGGCTAACAGATTCACAGATGGTACTGATTCACATTCTTCAACCGCTTCTCCTCCGATAACCATTTAGCATAACCTTTCCCCCGAGTTCCTTCGGCAGGCCCGAGCCCCGAGATACGGGACATCCAAGCCGGACCCCGACCTCCCCGAATGAAATATTTTTTAAGATAGCGAGGCGCTAAAGTTACAAAACTTAAGGAAGTTAGTTTAAGACAGGGATAGAAATATTTGGCGACATATCGCACGCGTGGCGTCATTTAAGTACAGCACAATATTTGATATCCTCGGACAATGGGGAGCAGCTATGAGACAGAAAAACAGCCAGAGGCAGCAATTTCGGTGGCGGCAAATCTTATTTGACAAATATGGTAAAGGCCCTTTTAGGCATACATTTGGTGACATGAAGTAAACGCTGATATTTATCACATATTGACATTAAGGAGCACTCGAGCCGCTGTGTTAGCAATTTCTGTTAGCCAAGCAAGCTGTTTGGGAACGGCAGGTAAAGGACTGCGACCGGCTGTGCGAACTTTGGAGAGGAGGAAACGTAACGGGCCGGGCGCTACTCACCCCACGGGCTCTCGTCCTGGCGGGTCCCGTTGATGGCTCCGTCGGGGAAAACCTGGAGGTGATATCCCGTCCGGCAGTACAACTGCACCACGCGAACCATCTGCCACCTCCGGGACAGGTTCTCCCAAAAGGCGAAGTTGTTCTCGGAGTCCCTGGGCCAGCGCTCCAGGTCGGCCTCCGTCCACAGGTTGTTCCCGGCCTCATCCTGCCGACGCCCCGACCAGGCCGCCGACGGCAGGCAGGCCGCCGCCGCCACCAGTAGAACAAGGCGAAAATCCATGTCGGCGCGCTACGTGTGTCACATGGATGCCACTAGGCTGTGGGTCTGGTAATAGTAGGGAGAGATCTCAGTCTAGTCGGAAGCTGGGTCTTTCCCCGGTCGGTACGGTACTAGTACTGCTGTACTGCTGCCGTGGTCGTAGCTAGTGGCACTGTGACGGGGGAGGTGTTTGCATTATGCTTATAAGCACATTGACAGGCGTTGGGCGTGACCCGGGTTACGTCGTTCACCAGAAATCGGAACCGCTTCCGGTGTCACCACCTCTCTCGTCGCAGAAGCCTCCCGTTAGCTCAGCTCTGGGCACAGGTACAAAGGTGGCCTTTGGAAGGGTTGGCGGGGAAAAAAAGGGCGTCCGACTAGTGCTCGGAAGTGAACTTTTTCCGTGTCGCGGTGGTTGTTTTTTTGTTCCACATATGGAACCATTTTCTTACGCCTAGAACTTGGCTTGTAGCATGTTCTATCGTGTTTCTCCCATGCACCCCTGCAGCCCTGCACTCAAGATGTGCCACCAGCTTACAGCTAAACAATCCACGTCCCAACACACCAGGATGTATTGTTAATTTGTTTCGAGTGAACCGAGGACTAATCCGCGCCCTCTCTGCCGCCCTGCCGCATGTAAACATGGATAGATGGAAACAAAAATTAAGAGTCACTTCAAACACCAGCCAGCCGAACAGATGTATTGCGCGTTTCTGAAGTGAAGCGGCTCCCGTTCGTACTCTCCAAGCAGAGGTTTGGGTTTTGGCTTATTTTTGGCGTGTTCTTAGGCTTTTTTTATCGGGTTTGTTTTTTGCACTGGAATCCTTTTTCATGCAATCCAGTACAAAAAGGAAACCCCGACTAAAAAAAACTAAAAACACGCCGAAAATAAACCCAAACCTCTGCTTGGAGAGCTCCCGCTCGCAGCTAGCCCCGTGTCGTAGCCTCTACCAGGCTTCGGGAGGCGGCTTGAAATAATAGAAATCGGTCAAATAGAGCGATAACATTCAGAGGGAGTTGGTCCGCTAGGGACTACATTTTGCTGCTCCCGAACTGTTCTCTCCAGCAAACCAACTCCCCCGGCATGTTATCTCTCTATTTGGCCGATTTCTACTCTTTCCGGTCGCCTTCCGACGCCTGGTAGAGGCTACCGTGCCGCAGAAACCTGCTGTTTGTTGCCGCAGCTGCCGCGAGGAAAAGAAAAGTTCGGTCTGCGCGGACGGCCGGAGCTTTCCGACTCGACACCGCAAGGTAAAGTTATAGCGGTATCACAGACACAGCCGCATCGCTCCGAGTCACAGACAAGCAAGTACTAAACCACGGCAAGTGTTCCGCACATGCCATGGACGGGAGATAAGAAAGTGCATGCGCCACGGGCCTATCAGAACAACATCGCCGGATTACGACTACATAATGGTTTTTCTCACTCCGCCTGAGCTGAGCTTGGTACTTTCTCCTTTCGTTTCTCCAGGCGCTTGTTCGTTTCAAAGCGAGGAATTTCTCCAGTATATTTAACCACAGCCCACGAGGAAGTAGAGGAAAACAGAAGTGAATCATCATTGCTGCAGAAAGATTGATATTTCGCTGTGCCTTGAATCTTGCCTAACGGCGTCACAGACAGCGTCATTTGTTCCCAATGCTCGGAGAAACGCGTTGATCTCTATCTCAGGAATGTAGCGAGCCTGGACAATATCAAGGAATATCTCGTATATAAACAAGGTCAATCAACAAAATGGAAACGTCTCTCTTCCCTCTTAAAAACACGCAGATTAATGAGGGCACTTTGGCGGCCGTGCGTGAGGGATTATTCCGCTATGCTAATGATGATGACATTATAATCTCACAAAATAGTGGCGGAGACGTAGCCTCTAGTATTACATAATAACACTGCGCAGACGGTAGCGGGTCGAGTCCTACAGAGAGTTGCCACCACGACGACCGAGAAAACAGTAGAGACGCTGCGCGTAGTCTGCTCGCAGCCACCACGCATCTGCCATCAAAGTTGATCAGATTTAAGTTGCCCAGGGCTTCGAGCGACATTCTTGGCTACCCCGTGCGGTTGCCTACCTGTCTCTGCGGTCGTAATTCAGCTTTGCTGGCGAATGTAAGGCAGTGTAAATGCTATAGTACTGGACCAGGGAGACTTTTTGATCTCCGTGCGTAGGATTACTTGGTGCCGTGTTCGTAAATAGATGTCACGCCTCCTGGTATTTGACCTGCACCTTCCGTGGCAATCTCCAAGCAGATCTATGGTGGCAAAAGACAACATTAAATCGGCCAGGAAGCATCCATTGGCCAGAGAGGTACCAATACGCCACCCTTGGGATGCTGCCTGGCCAATTTGTTACTGGTTGGAGATTAGCTTTTACTTTGTATCACAGAGTGTTATGTTTGGCGTGTGCTGTTGCACTTGCAAGTGAACACTTTGCATATACAGTATTTTGCAATTTTTAAAAACTTTTTGACTCAGACCTTGGCTCAGGAGCAGAGGATATAGACACGAATACGTGCTAACTCCATCCCATTCCCTTATCATGACACAGCTATTTGCCGACTTCCCCATAGGAAGCGGGAGAAAGTGGCGGGCTGGTCCACAGGAAGCTGGGAGTCTGTTCAGTTCACAGTGACTGACACCCCTACTCTCCAAGCACTAAGGTTGGTGGGGAAGATCGTTACCTTTCTGTCGGCAGTCCCGCTGTCGCGAAAAGCTGTGTATAAAGTGGGCCAAAACTATATGCCGCGTGTTTTCTGTCGCTACCCCCACCACCAAAAAACGGGGCATATATAGAAAGGTAACGATCTTCCCCACCAACCTCTGCTTGGACTCGGTATAACACTCCGTCACAAAAAAGGCGGCCATCGATGTGGAAATCTTGCTAGGGCTTGCTAGGGGGTTCAGGTCAAAACTAGTATTTTGTCCTAGGATACTAATTCCCATATCATATGAGAGCGCCATTTCTGACAATTAGAATTGTTTTTGGTAGATAGTATATAGTATATAGTAGTCCATGAGACACTCACGACCAGATGATGAGTAGAGAAACAAATGCACGCATGTGTTTTATATCATTCCGTTTATTGTAACTGAACATCAGTGCTGTCTACATGATGTTTTATTTGAGAACTTGATGTTGGTAAAGTTTTTGAATTAATTGCAAAGAATTTAGGGCCCACTTTCTGACAAACAGAAACTGTGGACTCTTTCCTATCCCTTCTCCATTCAACGCAATGAAGAACAACCATGTGTCAATCACCCACCATACAAAAATCCACCAAATCACTCCTTGTCTGCCACGCAGGGGACGGAGCACCGTCATGTTGTTTTTCTTATTCCAACATTTCATGACTGGACCTGGTGACAGTACACTCAAGTTATATCAACTTATTCTATGCTGCCAGCAACGTAGAGAGCAAATACAGGACAAGGCAGCCTACTCAGGAAAGTCGTGTTAAGTGCCTTTCCCAAGGGCAGAAGATCGGTGGCATGTCAGGACTCGAACCCGGGACCTCTTGGTTCCGAGTCGAGCACGCTGCCGCTACACCATCGGACGTCGTGTTTACCACTGCCAAGTTCACCTTCCCCGGCTCGAGTTACCGTGGATCAAAGAGCTCCTGCAGCCACGAGAGGAAAGATCATCCGGCGGAACTTCGGGAGGAACTCCAAAGTTCTCGTCCGCGCAGGAAACGACGTCACGAGCCGCCAGGCGTGAAATTGTTTGCAAATACGAGAGGGGCCAAGTTTGAACTCCGCCGTCTGAGCTGTGAACACTCAGAAACTTTGATACTTTGTTCGAATTACCATTATATCGACGGGCCCAATGGCCCGCTAGTCTTCCTGGTATGCACATATACATGTATATACAATACACAACACAGTCACTACACAATATCAACAACATATAACATACATGTAATAACAGTTACAACAATAAAATTATTTTAAAACCGATTGCACAGGTGCTACTGATAGAAATGTTCGTAACCATAGGGACCTCCGAGGACTGTGTGGACTGCACAACAAGTGGAAGGTCGTTCAACACTCTTACCGCCCTCCCTGTACGTGAAAAACTTCTTCAAAGCGTTGGTTCTGGGTTTGTCTAATGTAAAAGCCGGCCAAGAAGCAAAGCGAGTCCTGACAACAGATAAAGTTCGTCCTACGGTCGCACATGTTTCCCACTGGTCCTCCCTCCTCCTTCTTTTTATCTTCATGCTCTAATTGTGGTATATGTAATGGATACACCTTTCCTGTGCAGGACGCCCCTATTTCCGGCATGCACACGTTTTAGCGAAACGCCAAGTCGGCAGCCCACGGTCGAGCGCCGCCGTGTGGCGAGCAGGGCGCGTGTTCACGGTCCCGCCGCCACGCATAGCCCGATAGGCTTACATAATTGGCCGGTGATGGACAGCACACGACAACGTACACCGCCCTCTTCAACAGGATGGATATCAGTTCAGACTCACAGAGAGATTGTGAGGCCCAATTCCTGACAAGCAAACAAAGTATGGAATCTTTTCCCTACTTTGCGACGATAACCAACTACGTATGTCAAGCCAGTGTATTACGCTATATCGACTATACAAATACAGATACAGGCTCAATCATTGAAGAAAATGCCATTGTTTTCGGTTGAAACAGTTGGTAAGAAATATGAAGAATTACCCAATTAATTACCCACTCTAGCCACTATTCCGTGTTTTGCGTGTTTTCGACGCACCCTTTTGCGCCTTGCTCTCAAGCACTATTTGAGGAGATGTTACGTGTTTTCTCTCTCAGTGTCCGTGTAACATTACGTACAACCAAACACCGTTGTCCCGTGCACTGTGTGGTCTTGTACACTCTGCATGTCTGTGCCGAGTAAAGCGAACCAGGCGGGCTGGTGCCCCGTGGCAAACTGAACTTGTCTGTCGGCGAACGGACAAGTTCGGGTTCAAAAACAAGAATGCGGGGCTTAGAGTGCGCCCGGGGCAAACAAGGGCACTGCCCTGACACATAAATTGATAGGTAATAAATTCTTCCGCTCTTGTGTGTACACACATGTACATAAGGTCATTGAACAAAGTTTAATCTAAATGAAGAAGTGTTATTAAACATACAGCATTTGTCATCCCGGCTCGGCAGATTAGATATAGTGTGAAAACTGCAAACTGCATATGTTGAAGAAATAATGCGTGCAATGGTACGTTCTTCTGGTGTCACTGCATGTACATGTACAATAAAGACTCTACAACCATACGCAGGTTTCTTCCTTCACCAACCTCCATATGACTAGTACCTACCATCTTCTGCGTGAAAAACGCAATGTGATCATAATCTTTTGCACCAGCCACGGCCATTAATACAACATGTTTTCATGGTAGTTTGATCAGCGCTCTCACACTGTTTTCAGTTGGTCAAATATTAGCAACTCTTTTTCTAGTCCAACTAGCAAGACGTCTCTTGCGTCTTCAGTGCCACTGAGTAACCTACATGTATACTTGTTCTCTACGTACTAAGAGCGCTTCCTAGCGACTAATGTACATACTGCAGGCTTGGAACGTCATGCATTTTTATCTGAACACTTTCTGAGAACAGACTGATTGACACTGTTGCATAAAACACTCGTAGGAAAAAAGTTTTTTTAAATAATTCATTGATATCTGTCTGCAATACATTTGATAAAGAACATAAAGTACAAAAAAGGCCCATAAATACCATGGAGCCATGAAAGGTAGGTAAAGCAGCCATCCTCAACGAAAATGAAGCGTGCTGCTTGTCCAAGTAGCTTAAAGTTCAGTGCGGCTTCACTGCAGCTATCGTTTATAGCCAACCACATTGGGTAACCTTTACTCTTCATAATAAGCGTGTTGGATTCTTTTACGTGCAGAAGTTTGGCGCTTGAGGCTTTACGTCTGAACCTCCCTCATACACGGGGCCACCGGACAACATAACCCTGCCCATAATTCAACCTACCATAATGGTGGGTCGCCGACCCTCTTCTTGCCTTTCTCTGACCTTGGTGCGTGAGGTGATTCGTAAACAACATGCGACAGCGCGTGGGGACGTTTTAACTTAATAGGTTACGTATTGGTTACCTAACCGTACCTATTAATAGGTTACGTACAGGAACAACTACTTCAGCTAACTCTCTCTAAACTCACAACTGACTAACAAGGTTTTATTTGGGTATATTGACCTCTTCGTCGCCGTTACGTGTAACTTCAGAAGCCAGCAGAACTGACTGTGGTGTTCTGGGTGGAACGTCTCTTCATAATAATGGCAAAACAAACGGTCACGCCCGCCATCGCCTTGCTGTCCGTGATCGTTTTCTGTCTCGCCCCGCCTGCTTCGGCCGCTCCCAACCGGCTGGTGGCTTTCCTCATCGACGGGATGCGGTGGGACTATCCGGACACAGACCCCGAGCTGACGGAGTTTCGGGCCATGGCCAGGGACGGAGCGCGGGCGAGATACGTCACCCCGGACTTCCCGGTCAAGTCCTTTCCAAACTACTACACCATCATGACAGGCAAGTACATATAACATGCAGTCTTTGGAATGTAGTCCGAGTTTTCAGGTGCCTACCTACAATCGTACCTACCCACAACGGTCAGGCTATTGTTTGTTTACATACTAGTACATACGCACATACATAATGTTACATACATGCGCACATTAACACGCACGTAAGCACACACACACACACACACACTGTCACACACACACACACACACACACACACACACACACACACATACATACAAACACGCACACACACACGTAACATACATGTACAAATACATGTACATGTACAAATACACACACACATACACTCTCTTTTCTCTCTCTCTCTCTCTCTCACACACACACACACACACACACACACACACACACACACACACACACACACACACACACACACACACACACACACACACACACACACACACACCGTGACACACACAAACAAACAAACAACAAGTAACACCGTCGGGGTTTTTCCAAAACGCCTTCCCCTTTTGTGTCAGGTCTGCACACGGAAAGTCACGGCATGACGGGAAACTACATGTATGACGTCATGCGCAACACCACTTTCCTCCTGGGAGAGAACCCGGACTCGTACGAGCCGTACTGGTGGGAGGGCGCCGAGCCGCTCTGGACCACCGCCACTAAACAGGGCAGAAGGGTCAACATGTACTACTGGCCAAGTGAGTAGGCTATCCCTCCTTCCACTACCCTCCTTTTCTCCTTCCCTCTTTTTCACACTCCCACCTGAATCATTCGGCCTGTTCCTCCTGTCTCCTGATGTATGAATAAACAGTCGCATGAATAGTAAACATTATCGAAATCATCTCAAGGCAGATGTTTTGGTAGCTGGCACTGGCTTCAAGGCAGTATTACATTGGCAGAGCAGGATCCAATACGCCACCCAAATCTGGCAAAACGGAAGATAAAAACGCATATAAGCAAGTCAAAAATAAGTCAAAACCTAAACCTCTCCGGATTTTGGATAGTGCATGAAAGTAGTATAAGCAGTGTAGCTGTAAGGTACATCTATTGACAACTGTGCCATAAGGAACCATTCATAGGAAACATTAATCATATAAAGGTGTGTGAGAAATATGGACGAGTTCAAAACTTGAAAGTTGCCGCGGACTTAAAACCTTGCAGTACGTTTATGAATATTTCCGAAATTAATTTTATCAGGTTGGTAGAACCTAAGATATTGGCATTTCCTCATACATACCAACGAGGTTAGAAATCAAGATTTAACTCCTTGCTTATACACAGCCAGTGCTCTCTCTTCTCTCACCTTGCTTACGTTTTGATGTCTATCAGACACCTTTCTCAGAGCTTCTAAATCCCTTTATGTCTGGAACAGCCTGTGAGGTGCCCATCTTCAACACCTTACCCAACAAGTGTGAGCCGTACGTGGGTTACCCGACCTACCGCAACATCACCAACAGTATAGACGACATTGTCCAGCTCTTCAGCGAACGAGCTATCGACATGGCCTTCGTCTACTTCGAAAATGTCGACAGGTAGTACGTTGTCAGGTTTGACATACTTGTGACGTTACAGGTATAAAATGCAGTTTATCGTTATCGTTGTACTTTTGTGTAGATAGCTGTGTATATGTGAATTGTTAGGGTACGTAGAGACTGCAATCGGGTAGACCTGATTATCTAGCACATATATTTAGTTAGTATTTGTAAAAGAGGGAAAAAGACGAATTAGGAGGAAATGTGGTGCTAATGCATAGTTTGTACTTTTAGCTCAATACAGAGACTCCGGTCAAGATTTCTATCTGTAGAATCGCCGATTGTACCACAGTCTCTACCCTGACATACATATGTTAAGGTACGTGTTGTGATATTAAGCACCCCTCCAACTCTCTGTGTTAGACTAGTCCATATCTGAAGTAGCTCAGTCTAGTAGAGTAACCCCAGACTCTAGTTCCTTCTCTTTCTGCCTGGACTCCAGACTGAGCACATCCACGTTTGCCAGTACCATTACTAACCCTTCCGGATTAAAGCATCTAAAAAGGCAACTCAAGGTCTCTGTCCAAGTCCACTGTCAAGTTCAAAGAGTACATCAGTACGGCTTGCCATTTGAAGCACGTACATTCTCGGTATGATGCAATCTACAGTATCAGATGAAGTAAGAGGCATTCCATGCGTTGGAATATTCCCACACAGGTACGGCCATTCCCATGGTGTGGAGTCCCAGCAGCGAATAGAGGCGACTCGTGACGTCAACCGGTTCCTGGAATATCTCAGGGAGAATCTCCGAGTAAGTTACGTCATCTCTAGCAAATTTTTGTTGCCTGCTTCAAATACAATCAAGTGCCCTCAACGCAGTCAAAGAAAAGGTGGAAGGAATCTTTGGAATTCTTCCATCTTCCATTAATTCTTCAAGTAGACAACATTCCCTAGAAATCTAAGGGCTGCATTTCTTATTACTTCTCTAAGAGAGTATGTCCTTGTATGCTTGCAATAACACTTAGAATAGTAGTCGTTTCACTCGCTCACTCACTCACTCAGTCACTCACTCACTCACTCAAGCACTCACTCACTCACTCACTCACTCACTCACTCACTCACTCACTCTCACATGATTGAGTTGTAGTGTTTGAGGATCTCCCATCCCTGTTGAATGTAGAGAACAGGCCAGACTGACGATGTAAATGTGGTGGTGATGTCGGATCACGGCCAGGCCACGGTTGAGTACGGTCCCGAGGGCGGCTATGCTATCCTCAGCAGCTTCATAGACCACGGCGACCTGCACGGTCCCGTCTTCTACGAGACTTCGTACGTCAGCATGTGGCCAAAGGAGGGGCGTTTGGACAAGGTAAGTACTCTCCAAGCTTATTTTTGTGGTGTTTTTTTTACGCCAGTCAAACTTGGTAACTGCCTGGCCAATTTGATACCGTCTTGCAGCCACCAAAAGATCTTCCTGGATATTACAAGATAAGATCATTGCCACGGTTCGTACCTGCACTTGAGCAAGAAGAGTGAGTCCAAAAGAGAGCACTGGGCTAGTGGTCTACTTTGCTTTTAACCGTTGGTTTCTTCCTCGGTTATTTTCCGATAACAGTTACGTGAGCATACACGACTTCAGTGAATTGATGACGTCCCATAGACGGACACAAAGATTCATTCATTCATTCATTCATTCATTCATTCATTCATTCATTCATTCACTCATTCTCTCTAGTCTATGGCAATCACTCGTGATCTTTATTTGCAATCAGATACAGATTCATGTACAGATACATAGTCATGCACAGATACAGATTCATGTACAGATATACAGACTTTCCGAGTATGATGACCGTGTCAGTCCCTACACCTGAGTGAGGGTCACAGTTGACACGGTAGCCTTCGCGTGGATTTGTTTAAGGTGGATAACAGGTTGCGAATCTGAGACCCACACACTTGGGCATCCGTCTTCCCCAGCGGATCCATCGAGGGAGACGTGCTGGTTCCGGTTCGGGTGCTTGCAGCGAGCTGCCGGTGACTTGGTTACGCTCAAGTTCCGCCTTGACTACGCCAGCCCGCCTGGCGCTGCTCTCGTCCGCCAGCTGAAGACAACTGCCGTTGGAGACTTGACCCTCTAGTTGAGGGGGGATACGTGTAAAGTGCCTTTCCCAAGGGCACAACGTCGGTGCGCATGTTCGGACATGCCCCCGTGCTCCGACCCAGGTTCGAACCCGGGGCTCCTTTGTTGAGCGCCGAACGCTCTATCCACTACGCCACACGACGCCACGATTCACTCACTCACTCACTCACTCACTCACTCACTCACTCACTCATTCACTCACCTTTATATCCCTATGATTCAACCCTTGGACAAGTTGTAACGTTATGGTGTTATATCTTACAGGTGTACGCAGATCTCCAACGAGTTCCTCATTCAGTAGCTTATAAAAAGGACGACATTCCCGAGGGCTGGCACTACAAGAAAGGGAAGTACGTCCCGCCGCTGCTGCTGGTGACCACCTTCCCATACGCCGTTCGCGAGGCACGTGTTTTCTGATGGTTCGACTAGTTCCACGTATTGTTTTTCTCCATCTCTTATCAGTTTCTGCGATTTGCCTTACAATCTAGTTTGTCGTACCAAAACCTGCAAACAGGTGTGTGGTTCTTCCCTTTACCAGTACGAACATATTAACTTATCCTCTTCATACCTTGTGAGACATAACTTGATAAGGCCATGAGTTTTTTCCCTTCCATCTCATTCTAGGTCTGTCCTTGGCCACCGTCTTTACTTATCGATATCGCCAAGATAATCCCATGAACACCATGTCATCTGACACCGTTCTTCTCCAAGTAGTTTTGATTCTGCCTCCCCTCCTTTTCCCAATGGGTCTCCAATTTAAGGCTGTTTTGGGAATTCTTGTGTCATCAATTCTTAATACATGGCCAACCTATTTTAGTCTAATACCTGTAGTCCTGTACGTAGATATAACTAGTACCATGTGTGTCGTATAGTGTAGTATAATGTTTTTTGTACTCGTACCTCCAATAAGCTATCGGGCATGTATTTGCAATAAACTGTCAAAACGTTTATGGCTCTGAAAGGTACTATTAATATGTACGCGCTACAGGACGGAGTGGTGACTTCACGGAGGATCGGGATGCACGGCTGGGATAACGCCCTGATGGACATGAAGGGAGTCTTCATGGCAGTGGGACCAGGTACGGCAACAGGCTGGTTTACTATCTTAGCCCCTACCAGGCTTCGGAAGTGGCTGGAAGGAGTAGAAATTGGCCAAATAGACAGATAACAGGGGAGTTGCCCTCTTGAAAAGTACAGCTCAGAGCGGCTCCTTTAGCGGACCAACTTCCCTGGCATGTTATCTGTCTATTTGACCAATTTCTACTCTTTTCAACCGCTGGCAGAGGCGTAAAGGATTGTGTGAAGTCGCAACTGCCATCCTCATATACACGTCTTCATAAACACCTCTTATAGCAAATTTTCTGTCAAAAATGAACAGGATGAAAAGACAGAGACAATGTAAATGATTTAAACTAACTTTTGAAATGACTGACAGACTAGCTTTGTTCTTTTCGCCATTGCCATCGTTACTGTTGAAAAAAAAATCCACCCCCCCCCCCAGACTTCAGGGCCGGATTCGTGGGCGATTCCATCCACCAGGTGGACGTCTATCAGATGATGTGCGAGATAACTGGCGTCTCCCCCCGCCCACACAATGGTTCCGTCCTGAGGATCCAGGGCCTTCTGCGCCATCCAATCAGCGGCGGCGTCCGAACAGCCTCCCAGATCACGTGGGCAGCAGTCGCTGGTTTTGCTACTTTCCTTTTGTTAAGCAACTCATGTTGACATAAAAGCGCCATTGAAACAGTAGATTTCTGTGTCTAGCACATATATTCGACTGTAAACTGACGTGGGGGAAGGTATTTTTAACCAGGTAATTAGAGCAATCTAACGTCAAATTTCTGTTCTTCTTATACCATTGCAATGTGTGCTTTGTGTTGCTGCACCGTGTTCGTGTGTTGTTCTGTATTCTTACCTTCATGCAGTTGTAGATGAAGTTCGTTAGCGTTGTGTATTATTGTCCCGTTTTGTTTAGAAAACTAGACAAGTAGAACGTAACTTTACAGAACACTCTAGACAATGTTAACATTTCCATCACTTTTAATCGTGAGTCACATGCTGTTAATAACTAGTTGTGCACCTAACACTTACTAAGAGTGAACACAAAGCCATTGATAGAGTTTTATCTCGGTGTGGTGTTTTAGCACGCAAACCTATGTGAGTGTTATTCAGCACCAAGGACAAGGCAACTTGTTCTCGGATATTCTACTTTCCTGTCAGCAATCTGATACACTTTCCTGCCATTTTGTACCCAATTATCAGTTTGTTGATTTTTTTCTTTGTTTATCTGCTTGTTCTTGAAACTAATGCATTTTGTGCTGTTTCATCATGAGCTAGTATTAGGTGAATGGTTTGCCGTTTTGCAACTTATCAATTCAGTTAACGATTTGCGCAATGTGCACGAAGATATTGTGTGTATTACAATGAGCATGCCCCTTCTTTTTTATCAACTTCTGAGATGCATCTCATTCCTTCTACTTCTTGCGAGAAATGGCCTGTATCTTGTACGGCCCGGGCAGGAGAGTGGCTCCCATCACCCCAGACAGATCTGGCTCAGGCGCGCCCTCTGGCAGTTTGAAGGTGAACTGCTGCAGCAGGGACGTGAGGAACAGGAAAAGTTCCATCTTGGCCAGCTGCTCGCCCAGGCAAATTCTTCTTCCTATGTAGGGAGAGAGAGAGAGAGAGAGAGAGAGAGAGAGAGAGGAGGAGGGAGGGAGGGAGGAGGAGG